ATGATGTCATCCTACAGCGCTCCTACGACGGGCTGGCCACGGCCATCTACAATGTATCACCATTGGCTACAAACGTTGGAAAGTCACCAGGGCTGCGAACTGTTGGCAACCCTGAACCGTACTGAAAATCACTGAAAACTTACCTGAATTCAAAAAGTTGTCTCGCGGAGGTAGCACTATTAGTATCAGGGCGATGACCGTCGTAGCTATAAGCTAAGTAAATTATTCGTTGCTGTCAAATTAGTTTGTTTTGAAATTATTCATGAATACTTCCTGCTTAGTGCAAACACTGTGTCGTTGATGAGATCAAACGAGACATAGTGTAACTTATTTTAAATTTATAGTAATAAATTATAATCAATAAGTAATAGTAATGTAATTTAATAGATATTTTTTAGCAAATTTATATCACTTCAAAAAAAAAAAAGAAGTGTAGTATTACGTATGATAATGTATTATTTTTTCTCATAAAAGTTGTTTCTTATACGATATGCACGATTATAATGTGTGATACTTTGCTGCAAATTGTTCAAAGTAAAATAATTGTCTGTAATTATAGGTGTTAGGAAAAGCTAGTTTTATACTATACGTTCTGTTTTGTTGTATACACTCGAAACGGAAGTTCACTGAACTCTTCTTCTTTAATATTGAAAAATCACGTACTTCCTGTATCATGCTTCCATTTCTTTTAAATTTCCTATATAATTTTATCTATCAAATTAAATCAAACTTTTCTCTTAAGGTTTAATAAAGCACCTTTAAAAAAAAAAAATTCTTTTTCAGAATAATACATTAATTACATATTGTTCGATGAAATCTATATTAGCAAAAGAAGATAATTTTAATATGTTTTAAATCTTTTTCACAATCATGACAACCGTATGGACTATAAACATGGCCCCCTACCCTTACATTTTTCAACAAAAAATGCAGAACCGGCGTCCCAGTGTCCTCTTGTGCCATGGCGCCTGGCAGAGTAACCGAGGGGATTATTAAAAGTTGGAACAAGACTAGAAATTCCCCCCCTCCCCCCCCCTAAAAAAAAAAACAACACATTGACACATACATCAATAATTTCATACTTTATTAAGTACATTAAATCATGCTTGCAAGAATATATTAAAAGAGGAAAGGTACTTTTGTAAAAGATAAGAAAACTTCAATAATACATATTAGTATATAAACAATAATGAAACAATATACATGAGCAATAAATTAATATCAGATTGATTGCAAGACAATAACAGTTTTTTATCGTTGAGATACAATGTCATTTATATTCTGCTTTTTAAAAAAAAAAAGGGGGGGGGGGGCTTTCCTCGACTCTTTTAATATACATAAGAAATAAAATAATATCAAAATGATTGCAAGAAAATAACAGTTTTTTATCTTTGAGATACAATGTCATTTATATTCTGCTTTTTAAAAAAAAAAAGGGGGGGGGGGCTTTCCTCGACTCTTTTCCCGGCAAAATTGCGAATGAAATAATCACATTAATCAATAGTTTTTGCAGGATCAGACCCAGTACTGAGTTGAACCAAATCTTCCATTCACATCTGTGATATTAGATAACTTTTATCGTTTAAGTTTACTGAACTAGCGCTCTGCAGAGGTGACAGTGGTAGGAATTGTTAACAGAATACGGGGGCAGGCACATCTAGTTGGAATGAGTTCTACCAGCTTGTATATTTTCAAGCAGTTCGGTAGCTCCAGTGGACCCTGTTGGCACTCTCCAAGATTTGCTTGATGTGAAGATGTCATATGACTTATCTCCATTACAAGATCAGCACTGATATCAGCGGGATATTGATCTGTCTTTAATTTTGATTTTTTTTTCCTCTCAGTTCATCTTGAGGAATTGATAGGTATTCCAGGGGAAACTGAACTTCTCAAAAAATGTTCAGCATTGAAACGAACAGTGAGTCAACCAATCACATTATCCGATAGAACAAGAAGACGGACTTGAAACGAACAGTGAGTCCACCAATCACATTATCCGATAGAACAAGAAGACGGACTTGAAACGAACAGTGAGTCCACCAATCATATTATCCGATAGAACAAGAAGACGGACTTGAAACGAACAGTGAGTCAATCAATCACATTATCCGATAGAACAAGAAGACGGACTTGAAACGAACAGTGAGTCAACCAATCACATTATCCGATAGAACAAGAAGACGGACTTGAAACGAACAGTGAGTCAACCAATCACATTATCCGATATAGCAAGAAGACGGACTTGAAACGAACAGTAGGTCAACCAATCATATTATCCGATAGAACAAGAAGACGGACTTTTTGAAATATGCTTCCTAATGGGATTTATACATTTCATCTAGTTAAGACAAATCTGTTTTTCTGTCTTCTATTATGGAGCCTCTTTCTTTTGCGTTTTACTTCTCGAATAACCTAAAATGGTCACCCCATATAAACACATTTGTTTTAAAGCAAACTCCACACTAGGTTTCATTCGAAGAAATCTGTGCCACTACCCAACCTCCTGCAAACGAAATGCTTATCTCGCACTCGTCCGCCCACAACTAGAGTACGGTGCGATCATCTGGGACTGGGACCCATACCTAAAGCAAGACGTGGACAAGATGGAGCGAATCCAACGTAACGCAGAGCGCTTCAACGCAAGTGACTACAAATCCATCACTCCTGGCTTCGCCACTGGCCTCTTAAAAAGATTTGACATCCCCTCCCTCACCAAAGACAGACGAGATAAGTTCCGCCTAACATTCTTATATATTATATAAAGTGGTCATGGAGCTAGTGCCGGCCATCCCGGCAAACACGTATCTCACCCCACAGAATCGAGGTCGCTTAATCAGAGCCAAACGCTCACTAAACACTGACTTCAACTCTAACAACCCCATAAGCAATTACATCCGGACCAATAGTAAATGCTTCACTGTGCCTCGGTGTAACACAGTCCAATATTAACAATTATTCTTCCCACGCGCAATAAACACTTGGAACCACCTGGACAATGCCGCCGTGGACTAGACATCAATCGAGAGCTTCAAGGCTGCCCTGGCACCCGCTCGGAGCCGTTAGGATAGCAGCATGATTGCATCGCTTCATCAACCGTTGCACAGATGCCAGTACATGGATTCAGCAACGTAACTTACCAGAACCAAAAATCTGAACCTATATTGTTTTATTTACACTTATTGTTTGCGTCTAATTAATTACTTTAAAGGTTTATTGCCCTCCAACACTCTTTTCAATGCATCGAGTGCTAAACTACACTTCTGCACATTCATTCTTTGTGAAATGTATTTTTAATTATGTTCTACTTTTTAGTGCGTTCGAGTTTAAACTCGATTTTAGCGAAAGTCTTTGTTAAAACGTTGTTTTTTTTTTTTTTTTTGTTTTTTTTTTTTTTTTTTTTTTTGTTTTATTTTTTTTTATTACTTTGTTTTTTTTTTTTTTTTGTTTTTTTTGTATTTTACTATTCACCCTTTGAGCCAAAAGTTATGTTTATTAATGATAATCAGTTTTCTCTGACTAAACATGGATAGGGTTCCATAAAACAATCTCTTATAATGCAAATTAAGTGTCACTGACTCTGCAACTTGAAATGTTTCTTTGTGTTTGCGTAGACTACAATGCTATGCTGTATACTTTGTTACTTGGCTCAATCCACAAGTCCCAACCTTGTAAGACGCACATTCCAAAAGAGCGGAAAACTTTTTTAGGATTGAGGCTCAATGTTATTTGCTTTTTTCTAATAATAACTGCTAAATAAATTGTAAATGTAAATATATAATATATAAATATACATATCGGTATATATATATATATATATATATATATATATATATATATATATATATATAAGTATATATATATATAATATAAGTATATATATAATATACGGAGGCACGGGAAAGAGGAGATTGTTTATTTCAATGTCCTAATTACCGATAATTGATAAGTAAAAAATAAAAAAAAGAACCACATTTATTGCCAACCACTGCGGTAACATATCCCGTCCACGTACTTGAACTGTATTTTTTTTTTTTTTAAATGGCAATAACAACAATAAAAAACTAATTATTTTCTTAAAAGAATTTAAATTTAACTATCATCAATTTTCACATGCGTAACTAAAGTAACCACCAGCGTTACTATCCTCCACACCAAATGGTTAGTGACAACGCGGATTTCTGTGTGGCTCCTTCCGTTGTAACACAATGTAACCATCAAAATGTCACGTTCCTGTGTTCAACGGAGTTTGTTATGAGTTTTTAAGACGCTTTTATTTATTAATTGTTTTATATTTCCGAACACACATTGAAGGGAGGTACCCGCGAATTTAAGAAAATGGTACAAACACATTTCATTACCTCCCTTAAATTAATAGTGCTTTATGTGCAGCATTGGTTTCAAGCTCAATTTATCGGGGGGGGGGGGGGGGGTGGGGGGGGGGGGGGGCGGCGGCGGCGGCTCGGAATTTCCCTCACTCCTACACACTATCGGAAATTGTAATAGGGATTCTTTGATATCAGGTCATATTGCCACGATTTACACAGGTATGGTTGTGCATTACCCATTAAATGACTTTTTAAACTTTTGATGTATCATAATATATGTATATACAATATTCGAAGCGTGTTTTCTCAAAACCGAACTTTGGCGATTTTTGTCTCATAAAATGCTTTACAATAAAAACTTTTAGTCCTATTTTAAAACGGCTTTTACCATTATGATCTAAGTCCAAATCTATACAAAAATAATAAAATTAAGAATTAGACTAGTCTGTGAGATTCGATTGAAACCGTCACGGGGGTCCCATTATAGATCTGAGAATCTGGGGAAATTTCATTTAGCGGGCCGCGAGTTTGAGACCCCTGATGTAAAGTATTGCCAACAATTCAACTTCCTGTATTAAATTTAGCTGTTCCTTAAATTTAAGAAGTAGAGGCAAGCACATTAGAAAACATCAACAACTAACCACATAATATCTTTCTTTAGAAATAGAAGAAATATTTATCAGTTCACAAAGCATAATTAATAATACTAATAGTATTACCAAATTCAACAGATCAAAAGCAAGATTTGACGTCTTAGTACGGTAACTTAGAGTAGATTGATTTTAAAAACCTTAACAGTTAACATCTCTAAGGAATAGTAACATTTTAAACAATCCAAATGATCAGATTAAAAGTAAAAGAGCCAAGACTATTACCATAATTTTAAAAAACACCCCCTAGCAAAACTAAAGAATTTTTATTAGAAGTAGAGGTAAGAAAATTTTAAACACGGAAACAATTTTATTAACTGAGAAAAAGGATATTTCAATGAGTCAACACTAATAATAACTAATATGTTGTGTTTTTTTAAAATGTTTTATTTTAATTTTACATTCTATGAAAATTAGAGCAAAAATAATTTAAAAACATTAATTTAGGTTACGCTGCCCCAGCCGCCTTTCTTTTCAGAGCACGTTTCCCTTCACCTTTCTTTGGCTTAATCTTTCCTCTAAGAGTTCTCTGTCTATTCATTTCATCAATAAAATCTTGATGTTCATCCCTACAAGAAAAAAAATATTCATGACTGTAATTTTATCATCTACAAATGTTTAGAAGTAAAGAAACAATCATGGAAAATAAATTACTTGAAATAAATTAAATAATTAAATAACCTAATGGAGTAGATTTATTCTCTAAATAAATAAATTATCTCTTCTCTAACCAGCAAGCCTCTTAGAAAATTATTGTAAAAATTGACAACACTCCATTATCTTAAAGCAGGGTTGTCCAATTTAAAGTCAGCTAAGGACTAAGGGCCTTATTTTATATTCCTGGTTCCTCAAAATGTGTAGGCCTAGACAGAATCTTTCTTCAGTCTATATTTTTTATTTTCTCATAAATTGTACAAATCAATAGTTACATGTTGGCCAAAAAATCCTCAAAATGAATAAATTACATCAACATTTTTAAAGCGGTAATTATGTAATAAATGATATACAATACAATATAGAATTTTGCTTTTAAAAGAGCCTATTTTATTCTAATCATATTTAAGGAAGGTTCTTTTAGTGCACTGTGGACAACAAAGTATGCAGATATGCCAACATTTGGACAGGCCCTTTTTTAAGGGTAAATGATTCATATTGCTTTAAGTACATAGTCCTATTTAGAAGTATTCAAAACATAAATAATAAGTACCTGAATAGTCCATGTTGTCGTAAATTTTTAAAAGTGAGATCAAGCTTCATGTAGGGAGGGTAGTAATTAACCACAAAATTATCTTGATGTAATGGCTTTGCAGCCATTTGTTTGACAATCTTCTCATTCCTATAGGTTGTCCCCTTCATAACCTCTCCAAAAATTCTAGTCGAAAGAAAGGCTAATCGTCTGGCATACTCACTCATTTTTAATTCTTCCTAAAATATGAAAAAAAGGTGACCAGAAATTATTTTTGAAAATGAAAAATAAAAAACATCAAATATCTTCAGAAGCTTCAATACCTAATTTTATTAGACATGCCAATGAACCTTATGTTGGTATTTTCTTTTATAAAATTTACATTTTTAAATGATTAGTAGACAATCCTTTCATATTATAATAAATAAATTTTTAACCAGCTAAAAGAAGTGCTTATGAAAATCACATTAGACAATTGGCGCAAATCTTGCTAATATTAATTACAAAATTAATCATCTTCTTTAATAATGGTACAGTAACATTACAACTGATTTGTTATAAATTTTGCATCCTCTATATTTAAATATAAAGCAATATTTATAAAATTAAATAGTCCACAAAGCAATAACAAAACAAAAAAATCAATTTTATAGTCTTCACTCCTGAATTTCAGGAATTTTATAGTGCTAATTCCAGTGTAAAAGTGTGGAATAAACAAAGAAAGATATGATTACAGCAGAGTTCATGTTAGGAGAGATTGGATGTCTGTGAAGATAATGAAAGTGGTGAAAAAAGGGTATCCTATAATTTAAGAAGTTACCCAAAAAATATATACAAAATTTGACACATTGGATACATTCAAATATTCAGGGTCCCCCTAAACTCAAATTTTACTTACAGTATAGAGTTTTTACACTTTTCATGTTTTTCAAGTTTCTTATTTTAAAAGTGTCTTCTTTATAAATATGCTAATTTCTTCAATGTTCTGGTCTAGCTTTGTACCAAGTCCATAAGGTCTTATAATTATTATTACCGTAACAGTTTTTTTTTTTAAAATGCAAATAACCACTAAAGATTTTCAGACCGACTTTACGTAAGTTAACTCACTTAAATGTTCATCAGGGTTAATCAGCAGATAATAGGAACTCCCCATAATCTGCCATTCTGGTAGGCTATCTTTTTTTTTTACTTACTGACTAATCAGCCTTTCAGTGTCAAAAAACACTGGATGCTGCAAGTAAATCTAGATAAATTTAACAGAATATTGTATTTTTTAATTTAGCTTTATAAAAATGTGTAAATAAGCCAATGTGTTAGTATCTCTGCTGCTATCACTATCACGGCATTCACGCATTAACTTTTTTCAAAGGTGGATAGTTTGCTCTCTTCCTGGGACATCATCAGTGTTAACACCTTTTTCCAAATAATTCAAGCGATTTAATGCAAAAAAACTCTGGGGAGAGAGTTTTTCTGTTTACTCAGAGTTCTACATACAATAAAATCTACTAAACAGTTGCAATCAAACAATTAAGTTGTAGTTGTAGATTTTTCTAAGAGACACCTCTGCAGTACTGAGGAAAAAAACAATGATTACAATGCCCTGTCACACTTGTCTAGTCCTACTTCAATAAACAAAATAGAACTTACTAAAAGTACAAAACTGTAGCTTTAACTTAAATTAATACATGTTATATTTTAAATAAATAAATTGATTGAAAATGGTCATTACTGATTATGAGGGATCGATTCAGGGTTCAGGTTAGGCATAGGCTCATAGACTCATAGTCATAGGGATAGATGACTTCAGGTGACGGGTTAACCAAGCTGGCGGCCATTGAGAAAATAGTGGCAATCGTAGTCAAAATTTACCGTGTCAGTGAATGATGAGTGTCAGTGAATGATTAGTGAGTGACAAACAGTTTTGACTCACTCACCAGCTCATCATAGACGATAGTCAATAAATAGTCTATTTGGCAGTATTTGGCATAGTATTAGTATAGTATTGTATAAATATAGGCATGGCATAGTCAAACTGTCATATCCATGTGCCATGTGATATCATATCGTTTTATAAAACCGTTTTAATATTAGACTAGTAGTCGTAGTAAATAGTTGTAGAAATAAATTACCTGCTTATATTTACGATATGTTATATAATAAAGTCTTTACAGCATCATGTTTACTTCCATTACTTCCATAAAATACTCCAGGGGGAAACAAAATGACCTGACTGACCTCCCCTGCCGGAAGTTTCTAAAATTGCAGAGTTATCTGTCCTTTGCCTCCCCGACCGACATCTAATTTCGTCAGTTCAAAGACGAAATGGAATCGTTAATTCCAGTCATTAATAAGCTTCAAGATGTTTTCAATACCGTAGGATCAGAAACAATTCAACTACCACAGATAGTGGTTATAGGAAACCAGGTTTGGTTTACTCTTTAAACAGTATTCTAGGGATAACATTTTAGCGGCTAAATAAAATTCGCCGCGGCTAAGGCCCAACAAACAATAATAAAAATAACACAACTGAAATAATAACATAATAGTGATCAAGTGAATTGAATTAACATGTTAGAACAACTGAGTATTGACCCTCATGAGAACCCTCTTAATCTGAGTTGCAATTTTAATCTATTGTTTAAATATTAATTTATCATAATTTATATTCCTGGTTCTATTAGTAGGTACATTTGACTTTGATAAAATAATTAAATATTTTTGTAAAAATAAACGAATAAAGGTACTTCCGTATCACCCGGAAATTCCAGAAAAACAGGTATCGTAATTTCGTTGCCAAAATGGCCACTCCACTTTTTAATTTACTGAGGGTATTGTTGTTTCGCCAGATTCTACATCCGCCAATTACTTAAAGTGTTGGCTTTAACTTAAACTTAAAGCCAATATCTTGCTTGTCCTATTGAGAATTCATTTGATTTATTTATTTTTTTTGAGGTTAAAGCTTTGAAAATTGAAGTTGAAAATAGGTAAACTTCACTTATTATCAATAATTTTTTTTCTCATAAGCGCTGATTGATTAAAAATAAATCTCATTTAGTTTATAGTACAGGTTCATTTACAGTGTAGACCATGGGTAGGCTTCAAAAACGAAAGTCACAGATGTCATTTTTTTAGGCTATGTAATTTAATTTGTCATCATGGCATTCATGGCCACCGTGCTTGTCTGCTTATTGCAAATATCAATAGCGGCCATGGGGTAATAAATAATTCATTAAATTGGTTATCCAGAATATAAATGGAAAATATAAGTAAAAATAAATCACTTTAAATAAATAAAAAATGTTTTATAACATAAAGAATTATTATTGGCTAATGAAATATCAGTGGTTTTAATTTTTGGGTTGGTTGCCATGGACATGGCTGACATGGGATTGATAAGCACTTGTCTTTGACTGATATAGTAAATAGACTTAGTAAAAGTATTATAATAGTAATTATACTATAATAAATGATTTAAGGAGTGAGATAAATAGATTTTAATACAACTATTATATTTATATTAGTTTATGTTTATATATATTATATTATTTATATATATATATAAATATATATGTACATACAAAGGGGCTATTCGTACCCAGGTCCGAGAAGTTAGATGTTGGGATTATAATTTTTTTTAAATATATTGTTGTCAAGTTGTAAGATAAAATTTGGTATCAAATGAAAGATAATTGAATGGACTATATGTTTGTAAACTTAATTCTTCAGTTTAACTAAAATAAACTACCACAAGTGACATCCGAATAGCATTGAGTCTAAAGGGACCCGGGTCTGAATATCGGCAATGCGTTTCTGGTTGCATTTTGTTTGTCAACTACTTATTTTGAAATTTCAACTTTGGCAAATGACTAATTAATTAAAGTTTTCCCTGACCTGGTTTATAATAGTGAATGGCTGCGGCAATGGCCATGACATTTTGCTCACAGAAAATTATGATCATTTATAATATGGACTCTACTCAGGTTTTTAACCACAAATGAAAATAGTATTCTTTCAATAACATTTAAGCTCATTCTAAAACATAAGTTACTAAATATTTTGATGTAAATAGTGGTAATAATTAAATATTTCCTTAGTATCGGCGTCTTCCGCCGTTAAAAGGGGGCTTGGCCACTTCTTTATCGAAATTGGGATGACCAGCATTACCATATAGCAGTTTACTCAAATGAGCATAACAAGTGGCCGACATGTTTTAACTCAATGAAAATTGACACACATATATATTGATAGATAATACAGAGTAAGACTAAATATGATAGACATAAAAGTTGAACTTGTCTACTAATTTTTTAGTAAAAGATGCTTTATAATTAAGGGGAATTTCAAAATACATGTCATTGAAAAATCCAAACAAATCAATGAAAATGTAGGCCAAGATGTCTACTAAAGTGAAAGGATGAAAACGGAGCTCAAATAAATTACTCATTTATTAACACATTGGAAAATTTAAAATTTGGATTTCTCAACGCCTATCTCCCTTTTCCGATACACAAAAAGTAGTAGTCTCCCTTGCCTGACTGAAGTACCTACTGGTTCTATGTATGTCTATGTTCAGTCTCAGTTTTTGTACTTACATATTTAGGTCCGACAGTACTCAATCATGCATCTGTTCTGCGCATGTCAAAAAAGGATGCAAAAACTTTTGTGACAATTTAACATTTGGGTAATTACCACTTGAGCGTCGTTATGAAAGAAGTCATGTTGTTTGGGTTTGAAGTGCCATTTAAACGGTTATTGTTTTATTGATAAGATATAAATCTTTATACATACAAATAAATGGACATATTTTTAATAACATAGCACATATTAATTTCAGCACATATATAAAAGACAACATTTTTAAAATAGAAAAATTTTAACAATTAAATAGTTTTTTCAAATAGAAAAATTTTGACAATTTAATGTATGAAAAAAAACAGAGTCTGAGTTTATATCATCTCCATGAAAATGATGGCGGGAGACGAACTTATGAAAATATTGCAGCTTGTGCCGAACTGCCTTTTCAGTTTGCGCTTTGCGTGCAACCACATTTTTCAACCTTATGTGTGTGGACATCAGCGTCCTTTGGATTGATACAATTTTGTTGAAGAAAAATGGAGTGTTTGTAGATTCCATGTCTGAAATGGTTTATGCTTGTATAAGCCACCCATCTGCCTGATAACTGAGCTTGGAAGGATATATCTCTCTATGCACTCCTGTAATGTGATCGCACATTGCTCTGGCACTCAAAGAAAACATTGCCCACTCTCTCTTTCTATGCCACCGAAAAACCAGTTGCCCTCTCCACAGTACTATTAATAGAAATCAATAAAAGAATAAGCATTTCAATAGCACTTCAAATCGGAACAACACTTTTTTTTTTTATAAGCGACACTGAAGTGGTAAATTACCTAACATTCGACTCGGCAATGATTTTGTTTTTATGCATTTTATGCCACAGCTTTCTTATAATAAATTAATTTGCTATCAGTGATGGAAATGCATTTGCTCTGATGTATTGGTATGTACTTAATAACTTATAATTTTTAAATGTAAAATCTTGACATATAAAATGGTTTACCAGCTACTGCTTCATTCATTTACATACGGATATAACTTTATTTCAATAATAAAGCAATTTCCCAAAAAAATGTATACATTTAACTCTGTTAAGGTTTAAGAAAATGAAAATGCCATTTTCACCAGTCATCCCACCTCATGTAAAGAAAATTATGTTGTCTGAAATGGTTTTTATCAATTTAATATAAAGAGATTTTCATTATTGTTCAACTTTAAAAATATGTGGCACATTAATCAGTTAATGAATTAGAAAGTTTTTCAAAGTTAATTAGAAATTAATACAACCCAATAAATTAAAGAGTTTTTTAAAAATTCATTTTAGTTCTTATAGTCAGGTGAATTTCAAATTTGTTTTGTCGATTGATTTATTATATTAATATATGTATAGTAAAGGGAGATGCCTAGTTGTTACCAGTATTTACCAGTATTTATTAATTATAATTAAAGAAATAATACCACAAAAAAAAAAGAATTGCTGTTATTGATTATTTCAATTGAACCATATTTTATCATTTACATGGCTTTTGCCTGTACTTTAAAAGCCTAAGCCTAATAAACTAAACTATTCCATTACTGCAACTATACTTACAGGCCTAATTTAGGTGTTTTTTTTTTTTTAATTTAATCTGGTATTTGATTCTAAATATTAATTAATTGTTAAGTCAATGTAATATTCTCATACTTGTCTACTTACTGTGTGTCTTAACTTTTAGTTTTAGAGTCTATACTATTCCATTACTGCAACTATACTTACAGGCCTAATTTAGGTGTTTTTTTTTTTTTAATTTAATCTGGTATTTGATTCTAAATATTAATTAATTGTTAAGTCAATGTAATATTCTAATACTTGTCTACTTACTGTGTGTCTTAACTTTTAGTTTTAGAGTCTAGTCCTATTTAGAATAATTTAGGCCTTATACTTAATTAGAATAATTTATATAATTATAATCCAATATAATTGCAAATTTTAACACAAAAGTCCATGACTTATTTAAAATAAGGTAATATTTATAAATTAGCCTATACAATTTTTATTAAAAGATATCAAATAAATAAGTACGACTCATCATCATTTTATTAAATATATTTAATTACGAGGTATATAGGAAATCAGTTTACATAGACTAATACTTAACCCTTTCTGCCGCACTGGGTCTAATACAACCGGAAACAAAAAATGATTTCTGATATCTGGAGTCTCCTTTCAATAATTTTTCTCATACTCGACCTAATCCATAAGGTAGTTGGAATGAACACCTTGGTGGATACAATTGTCTATCTAAAGCATGCGAAAGTGACTAATTTTTTGGGACCTAATCTTTTTTACAGTAACTAGCATTTGGGTGTAACACACCCGTGCATAATGTAATAGAAGAAAAAAACGTCTAAACTGGCTTGTGAACATTTTGTTATATTATTTGAGTCTGTGTAATCCATAAATTAGATTTTAAATTTTGACTAATAAATATTCTGAATGGATTTGGGTACCAGGGAACCAACAATAGGAACATCTATTCAACTTGACAAACTATTTCAAAGCAGACCAGTCACATGTACACATGGAAAAATGAGCTTTGCAGCTCAGCTTGCACAGTTTTTACATAATAGATCAGAATGTTCTTTGCAATAAATATGTCAAATAAACTTGCTGAGTTGAAGTGGTTTGGACAGCTGTTTGAAGTGTTTGTAAAGATTTCAAAACACTGGCGATGTTCTACCTCACAATATCTTGAGTGTCTGGATGAATAATCTCTGCTTGCGGAGGGGTAAGGAAATGTGCAACATCACTATTGACTGTCTGTTGTCTGCATGAGACCAGTGAATTAGCCACTCTTGCTACAATTGATGCAAAGTCAACAATGTTGAAAAACACAACCAAAGGACATCTTTTACATTTAGTTTTTGTATTCACAGAGAACACCTTCGCCATTTGGTCCATGGCGAATACGCCTCTTTTGATTTTGTTGTTATAGACCACAATCTCTGGTTTCTTGCATTTAGTTTCACTTTCTATATCTGGACGATTGTGTATTGTGTTCAGGAGCAATATATTTTTCTGCTTCGAGCTCTGATATTTGACAATGTTGTTTCTAGTCTGAACAAAACCACTGATGTGTTGAGGGACAGAGCCTTCTTTTGCTCTAACCACTTGGGTAGGAACATCTTGTCCCGTTTCACTGTTCCAACTTGTGTGTCTGTTCTTGGCCATTGGTTCTTCAAGTTGTAGGGGAATGAAATAATAGTCTGTTCTGAAATTGCGGCCACTTCCATGGAAGTCCGTTGTAAAAGAAATCACAGTCTCTGGGGATATTCCAACATTACTCTTTGCTGGCAGGGCACTTGCATTTTCTTTGCCAAGATATGGGCAGCCTCTAAGAGGATTCCCAGGCCCAGAAGATTGTTATTCCATATTTTTTGGGCTTGCTTGGCATATATTGAATAAATCTGCACCGACCTCTAAAACCAACCAGTTGCTCTCCTACTGTGATGCTCTCTCCAGGAACATAATACCTTGCTAAATTACTCAGGAATGCTTCTCATACATCTCTTATGGGAGCAAAGATGTCACGAGCCGGAAATGATTGATCTAGTATCCTTGTTGTCAAAGCCAAGATGAATCGGAAGTTTGCTGAATCTCCTCATTGAAAATGCAGCCCTAAAATGAGGATATCCATCAACATGGCTGAATAAAAATTCCACTGAAATGCTGTTGAGGTGAAGATCGTCAGTGTGTACTAGGCAGCCAATAAAAGCTTTCATTTAGATCGCATAAGACCCTTACCATTTGTTTTCTCTTTTTTCTCGCCTCCCCTGTTGGTGCAGTCAGCTATTGTTTGTATCATTTTTCATTAATGTACAGAACAAATGCTTCAGTGGAAGAAACTACATGATCTGTGAAGGGAGTTTGGTTGCAAGGCAACTAAATCATGCCACATTGTAAAAAAAAATATAACATAAAGAGAGCCATTTACTGGGATATAAGACTATGGGTGTAACCCACCCAGTTGCAGGAATCGCCAGAAACACTTTTTCCCATTATAATATAAGTGTACAGGTGTGCTACACCCAGTTGCGAGGAACAGGGTATACAATATGTTGCGGCTGAAAGGGTTAATTAGGGCATAACCGGATGCAGTTTTTTTACACCGAGTATTTTCTCAAATATTTTAGAAAATACCCTTTGGGTCCAAGTGTTACAAAAAAAAAAAAAGTTAACTTCTCATTTTCTATAATATGAAATGAAACCTATTGCCCTATTTGGTAGTGAGAGTCCATTGCCTTCGTCAACCCTTTATGTCAAGAAATAACCCCCTGATAGGAACAGGCAGCTGCCGGATCCTGGAATAGAGATGATGTTGAACAAAAAACCTGTTAACAGAGAAGATACTGTTGTTCATTTTATACCAAAGATTTACTCAAGAAAAACTACATTTGCTGTATATAAAATTTAGCAAACTATTTCAAGGACTTCAGACATTGTGACAGAGGAACACAAACAAAATAAACACAGAATAAAAGTCACCCTCCCCTAAAGAATTTTTTTTTACTGAGTTCACATGTCACACTTGACAGCCTTTTTTTCACTCAGTACTATTATTTTAAAACATGGAGTTGGGGGGCGGGCGGTTTTGAGAAGGAAGCAGGGCACACCAGAAGCAAAATATATTATATTTAATATTTCTAATAAATAATTTTTTTATTAACACATAACTTGAATAATAATAAACGAAACTTGAAATCGTATAGATGCCGGACTATGATGTTACTTCTGTGCTTCTGTCAGATGCAAGAGAAAATTTAAATTTTCGATTACAGAGACAATGGAATTCCTTCCATTGCAAATGAGACACATTAGGACATAGATGGCAAAGAGAAAGTTTATGTTGGAGAGATTGTGGGATTCGTCAATAAGACTAAGAAGTCTGTGGAGCAGTCTACCCAGAAATGACAGGCAGAACATCCTCATTATCTTTTAATCACATGCAATTGCTGGTATGGTTTTATTTATTTTTTTTTTTGGGGGTTTTTTTTTTTTTTTTTTTGATTTAGAACTTCATGATCACACATTCAATTTTTTTTTTTTTTAAAGATTTGAACTTATCTTTTATAATTATTAACATAGAAGATTTAAATTTAACTGAAGCATATATTTAATTAAAATACAGTTAATCTGCTTTTTTTATATTGTTTTTGTCCTCTATAAGTAATAATTTTTTCCAATTTTTCTTTTCAGGATATTTTTTAACTACCCTCAAATAAAAGAAAAAAAAATATTGATGCTATGTAAAAGTTTTGTTGTTCATTGTGTTTTAAAGTGCATTGAGAATGTCTTCTGAAATTTTGGTAATGTTATCTTTTAAAATAAAAAAAACTTGATATTTTGTTTAAGTTAAAGCTTATAGCAAGCCATTTAAACTGATTTATCTTTTATGGCAATCAGACAATATTAAAAATTTATGCCAAAGTACCTAAATTTATAGGGCCAAAGGCCTAGCAGGTATAAACTAGGTCTACCTTATCAACTGTTTAAGGCCTTAAGATGCTCAATCAATAATTTATGAGGCCTATTTATTCAAATCCCTTTGTCCACCTTAACTTACCTTTTTAACATAAACTTAGGTCTACCTCTCAGTTCAGAACAAAGTAGCATCCTAATATTTTATTTACTTTAATTACATGCTGTTAAAATAGGGTTAAAAATTAATTCTATTTTAGCAGAGATATAGAAACAAAAAAAAATTGTTAGGATTTGGAGCCAGCATATTTTGTGGGCTTAGAAAGCAATACAAATTCCAGGTACAAAAATTTGAGGTTCATGTCAAGCTGGATTATTTTGTTTAACCACCCCCTGCTATTAGTAACATAGTTAGGCCTATTAATTATTTTAAATAATCGAAAGTCATACAATTCTGTTTTGGATGAGTCCTATAATTCAGGATATTTTAAAGTAATTTAAATCACGTTTTTAAATATATTGTTAGGACAATGAATGGGCAGCTGGAACAAAGGTCAAATAAATGTAAAAATTGTAACATTAAATTTTGGAGTAATGAAAAACATTTCATGTTAGAGTTGTGTGCTCTTACTTATAACCCCATATCCTCCTTATATATAGAATAAACAAACTCACTGTCTTGTCAGATGATAAGTTTGAAGCGGAAATGATATCTCTCAATCTAACTATTTAATGAAGTTAGTTTAGTTTTTACTTACATTTTTTTCATTATCAGAGCTCAGGAAAAAGCTCGGTTCTTGAAACACTAGTTGGTCATGACTTTCTGCCAAGAGGGACCGGGATTGTCACCCGTAGGCCCCTAGTGCTGCAGCTTCTGCATGTGCCTAAAGACGGTTCTCGTATGCGGCACGAGGACATGCGTAAGTAGTATTATTTCAGCTTGTTTTTTATATTTCCAATTGGAGATTTTTTAAATTTTAATTCCTGAAAATGTAATTTATTGTGGAAACCATAACATACACAGTCAAAATGTGAAAGGATATTTATCATTTATAAATATATGCCATTTTGGTTTCCATAACTTGACTATGATTATATTTTTTTCCTTAGAGAATGTTACAGCACCAGAATGGGCAAAGTTCCTTCATACTAAAAATAAAATCTACACAGACTTTCATGAAGTTTGTAAAGAAATTGAAAATGAGACAGACCGCATGTCAGGGACTAACAAGGTACTATAAAAATCAATGCTGTAGACTATGTTTTCACTCTGCTTGAACATGTTAAAGAAAAATGATAATACTTATTACATGGTACTTTAACCTAATCATTATTGTCAAGTATTACTGCAGAATAAATGTATGTCCACTTGTCGCTTTATCAACTAAATATTTTAGTTTCCAATTATTATCAATTTTTGTTTAATTACATTATTTAATAAAAACATGATGTTGGTTTTAAAAGGTTCCATTGAATAGCCTAAAAACTGAATATAATGCTGCTAAAATATTTATGTCTCTTTTCAGGGAATCTGTACAGAACCTATTTCACTTAAGATTTATTCCTCTAAAGTGGTGAATCTGACCCTTGTCGACCTGCCAGGATTGACTAAAGTTCCTGTAGGGGATCAGCCTCCAGATATTGAGAACCAGATTCGGGACCTTGTTATCCACTACATCTCCAACCCCAACTCTGTTATCCTTGCTGTGACTGCAGGCAACACAGATTTCGCTACATCAGAGGCATTAAAGTTAGCTAGAGAATATGATCCCGATGGTAATGATTAGATGAGTACATTGTAAATAAGATACACTACAAGACCGTTCCTGTTTTGTTTATCAGTTTTTTGCTTGTTAAAATTTACATAAAGCTGTGGGATGAGAATGCAGTTTTCAAAAATACACATTTGTTATTCAGGCAGAAGAACTTTAGCAGTGATCACTAAATTGGATCTAATGGACGCCGGGACAGATGCAATGGATGTACTGTGTGGAAGAGTCATTCCTGTCAAGCTTGGTATCATTGGAGTTGTGAATAGAAGTCAAGCTGATATTAACAACAAAAAGGTAAAATTCCATGATACTTCTTGCTCTTGATGAGTATTCAGTCCTAGGGATTTTTACTTATAGTTAAAGCATTTATTTGTACTTTGGTGATAATTGTGTCAAAACTTATTGATAATCATATGTCTTTTTGACCAGGAATTGTCGGAGTCTTTGAAAGACGAAGCAACATTTTTACAGAAAAAATATCCATCAATAGCTAGCCGAAATGGCACACCGTACCTTGCAAAGACACTAAACAGGGTAATTATTTTCTATAAGAAACTTTTCCTGCTAGGGTCCCTTTTTCGGGGCATCAATTAAATAATTACTATTTTTATGAGTAATCCGATTTCATTTTTTAAAATTTTAGATCTGGTTTTATTGATAATGTAAATGATAATGTTTTACTTAAGTCATTTTCCAAAGTTTACCATGTAATTATTCATGTGAGAGTGAGACCTTTAAATTAGCAGGGGATTGATCTTTTGATCCACAGCTACTAATGCACCACATCAGAGATTGTCTTCCAGAATTAAAAACAAGAGTGAACGTTCTCATCGCACAATTTCAGTCACTACTTAATTCTTTTGGTGAACCAATCTCTGATAAAGTAAGTTGTTTTAGAGGAACAGGAGCATTTCTTAGAAAGCTAACAATTTTATTGTGTTTTTTTTAAAACTAAATAACCTAATTCTATCTTAGTATCTAGCTATATTTTAAATAATTGTATCCTTTTGTCTCCAAAACACACAAAGTATTTTAGCTATAAATAATTGATACATGTCTATTTCAGAGCCAACTACTACTTCAGATCATAACTAGATTTGCTTCAGCATATTGTAGCACAATTGAGGGAACCTCCAGAAATATTGAAACATCTGAACTGTGAGAAAATGAACAAGCATGTTACTTGCATGTTTGCTATAGTCCTTATAATCAGATTCAATTAATGTAAAAGAAAGTTCTGGGGGTAAAATACCTACAAAGTAATGAAAGGAAATTTAATATGAATTACTATTGCTATACTTAATAGGTTGTATGCGATACTTTTATTGGTAAGTGATGATTTTTTTTATAAACTTAATCTTCATGCAGTTAACATGTATATATTTTTGATCATGTCGATATCAACAGGTGCGGGGGTGCACGCATTTGCTACATATTTCATGAAACTTTTGGTAAGACATTGGAGTCTGTGGATCCACTAGGTGGACTCAATACAAGAGATATACTCACAGCTATTAGAAATGCAACTGTAAGTCAAAGCCACTGTTTCACAGTTGGATCAATTCAAATTTACTTTTTGTTTCTAGCAATTCATAGGGATACAACACTTACACTATTCTGACAATGTAATTAATATCCATTCTTTTTATACAAACAGCTTCTTTTTTTTAAAAAATCATGTTCATTATCTTTGTCAGGGGCTCTTGATTTCTTTTGTAATTTGGTTCAAATAAAAGAGTTTTCTCATTTCTGAAAAGTGTCATGATAAATTATGTATCTATTTCAGGGTCCAAGGCCAGCATTATTTGTCCCCGAGATCTCTTTTGAATTGCTGGTAAAGAGACAGATCCGTAGGCTAGAGGAACCCAGCTTGAGATGTGTGGAGTTAGTTCATGAAGAGATGCAGAGAATGATTCAACATTGTGGAACACATGTAAGTTGGAGAGAGTGGGTCTACATCATAATAGTGGATGTCAGAGTTGATAAGGGTGGATGTGGATGTTGTGAAGAGTATTTATTAATATCAAAATTTATCAAAGATGTCTATCTTGAATGAGTCTAATGATATAGCCAGGGTTTAGTAGTGAGCTCCATCCCTTGGGTTAAATAAGCATTTTTTAAAAATATTTCATGATCCATTTCAGCAAGAAATGTTACGTTTTCCCAAGCTTCATGAACGTATTGTTGATGTAGTTACAAACTCTCTACGTCAAAGATTGCCCCCAACAAACTCAATGGTAAGTTTTTTTATTTTGCTGCTTAATATGTTAAATTTTTGTATAGTTTTTTTTTTTTTTGAGGATATTGCTACCATCTAAGGCTGACATCATCCAAGTGTCAAGGCAATAGTTGAAAGGGGAAGCAGCACTTTTTGAAACTATATCAGGATGAGTATTTGACAAAAATCTGCCTTTTGGGGAAAAAAATCAAATTTTTGTCTAAACTTGCAGCATCTCGACACCTTAGTTGATAGTTGACTTCTTATGATAGTTAACATGTCTTCATTGACATCATAAATGATATTTTGTTGTTTGTAACATACATCCCATGTCCACTTTAACAGTGGATCAGTTTCATTAAAATGATCTTTTGCTGACTTATGGAACACATTTTTCTTATCTCTGTTGCCTATTACAGGTAGAAAACCTAGTCCAAATTGAACTGGCATACATCAACACAAAGCATCCAGATTTTTCTGAGGCCCATTCTGTACACAGAGCCATGATGGGAGGAGCTACAGAAGCTGAAGCCCAGAGAACTCTCAGTCAGAGAAACGTCTTGGATAGGATCCAAGAAGACAAAGATCGTGTAAGTTACATTTGGGGTGTGAGAATGTTGTGCTTTTTTTCCTTCACCATTTGCTGTCAAGTAGCTGAAGTGTTTTTTACCTCGTCCCAAAGAATAGCAGCCTTACTTGGTAAGCAAGCCTGTTTTACCCATCTATATACCCATAGCTGGGAATAACCAAAAGAAATATGAACCTGCTACCTCTTGCAGGCAACATTTTCAATGTTCCACAGAACCAACTCATTTTATGTTACACTTGTGAGTTGTAGAACTCATTGAGTATTCAGATGGGTATGGTTGTGCTAGTTGAGCTGGAGTCCAGGGCAATCTCTCACTTAAGGAAGATCCTAAACGTTAATGATCATTTAATAGGAAATGTATGATTAAAGACTTGTAAAGGGATAGTTTTCAATCTGCCCAAGATTGGTTGCTTGAACCTAATGTCCCCAGCTAACAAGAAATCTTATGTTTGGTCCATTCTGTTTTCTACTCATACATGTTCTATGTTTTTTACAAGTGTATCATTTTTAATATTCTGCAGACGGGCATATAGCAATAACTGCTCTCTGAGATGTTTGTTTCCTTTTTTTAAAAAATAAACTTATGTGTAGCTGTTCAAGATTTGTTGGCTACTGTGTCCATGTAAGCTTAACTCTAACTCGTGAATATATTTACGTAATGAGAGTTTGCTAAAAATTATTTCCTATAAATGAAGAAAATCTATATTACGCTTATGTCATGTGAAGCTCACATCCTTTTTTTTTCAGTGAAGCCAATTTTAAATATTTCTTAATGGATAATTTTAAGTTTAATTTTTATATGAAATGAACTCAAAAAAAGGCTATGTCCTCATCAATAACAAACGTAAAGGGCTTGTCTGGAGATGGCTCCTCTACTACAGTGAAGGAGAAAAAGCAAGAGAAGGTAGACATGTAGAGATGCAGTTTTGTTTGTTGAATTCTGGCACACACTGTATTCCAAAATGCTGTTAATTTTAATATGTTAGCTTCTATTACTTTAGGATTTTCTCATTAGTGAATAATCATTTTAATTATATGGCTTCTTTGGGCGGCTTGTTGTAAACAAGAGAGTAAAGTGTGACTATCACTGCTAAATTATGTTAACATGGTTTGGTAACTCTTTGTAACCCACTCTTGCCTGTAACATCCCTGCTTGAGGCTGCACAAAATGCAATGTTATGTCTTATGCTCTCTCAGCTCCTAATTACCAAAAGCCCCACTTTTAATCCTCTTTTGTTACCAAGTTACTGGCCTTGTCAAAACAAAGTTATGCCACATTGTCTAGGGAGAAAAGGTTCACATCCTAAGTAGGTCAGACAGGCGTGGGCTGATTAACTCATCTCATTTGAATTTTAAGTGAAATATTTTGATATGTTTACATTTTCAGCAAGTGTTTGCAATTTTGTTTATTTTTGGATATTTCTGACCGGCTTCACTACATAATTGAATTAAAGCTTCATTTAAATTTTAATATGGACTTCTTTTATCTAAATAACACAATACAAATACATCTCTTATCTTTAAGGTTCCTATTATATTATGCTTGTTTAGGACAACCGCTACATATGTATTGCTTAATTAAATTTTACCTTTTTTTATTTCAATGCTGTTTTTTTTCTGATTGTCTCTGTTGCTACTAATAAATAGGTGTTATTTTTTTTAAATAACATAGTTATATTCAAGTGTGATGCATTGTACCAACTAACTGAGAGCTGTGAAATGAAAGATAATAATTGTGAGAATGACCAAGTTAGATTTCTCAAAGTTGACTGAACTGATTGACGCATTGATAGTATCTTTAAAGTTAGATACAACTTTTACATATGTTAATTAGAAACAACCAATGATGTTTTACTAATGGACCTATTTAAAACTTAGGTTATAAAAAGAACTTTTAATTCATCAATTCAAACATTTATTTTTAAATCTGAGCAATGTATTTCCATTTCTTTTGTTGAAGTTTTTTTTTTTTTTAAATCTCTCCCCAGGCCACCCCACCTCCTGCTGTAGACAATTTAAATGGTAGCTGGAAGATCACCAACTTGATAAGATCCAACCGCCTGGACCAGCCAGCCAGTGACAGGTCTTCTGAGCCCTCCTCATCTTTGCCTGGCAGTGGTGCCAACAGTGCAGCCCCATCTCCCTCCAGATCCAAGAAAGGAATCAACTTGCTCCCAGAAGTGGTCAGTTGTTTGCTCTTAATATCAACTTTTGATTATTACTCACCTATTCTTATCATCTTGGAAAATTGATTCTTTTAAAAAAAATGTATTTAAAAAAAAAAAATAATAATAAAAAATTTTTTAAAGCCTCATTGATGGATTTAGGAATAATAATAATAATATGATACACTAACTGCCGTTGATTGTCCCACTTTTTTATCATCTCAACAGTGTCCAATAAATATTTGGATATGAAATGTTCTTTCTAATATTAATTGAAGGCTGTGTTTTCTCATTCTTACTAGCTTAGATATTTTTTAACTTGTTGCTGTTTAATATGACATATTTTCATGAAATTCATGACACATCCTTTAGTTTAGATCTATACATTTTAGGGACATCTTAAATAGTTCTCTCAAATATGTTAAATTAGTTAAATTACATTATGGTTAATAATAACAACTGATCCTAACAAATAATGTTAACTAATCCTAAATAATTGTATCAAATGTGATCTTATTTTTTCATGTTTAGCCAGAGCAGCCAGTCATGAAACTTTCAGCAAGGGAACAAAGAGATTGTGAAGTTATAGGTAAGATAAGATTGTGAGGTTAAATGTAATACAAGTTTGTGTAGCAAAATAAGATTTTAGTGTATTAGTTTTAATAATTTCAAAGTTGTAGATATGCTAAGATATTGAAGATATTAATATTGTAAAATTTTGATGATTGTATGTAGTACTAAATTGTGAAGCTGTATGAGATATAAGATTGTGAAGTCATAATTAAGAAAGCTTGTTGAGCTGTTTCCATCTTTACATCAGAACGATTGATCAAATCCTATTTCATGATTGTGAGGAAGAATATCCAGGATAGCACGCCCAAGGCCATTATGCATTTCTTGGTTAACCACGTAAAGGACCACCTGCAGGTATTTCACCTATACAGTTATTGTATTTGGGCATGTTCAGGAATAAATGATTTTGTGTGGCTGGTGACAATAGTTGAGGCATGCTCAGAGTAATATTTTAAACCTGATCCTTACAGACAGATATTTTTTGGTGCTACTGAAATGCTTGAAATTCATTTTGGTTTGGTTCTGATAGAAAACTTGTGTCACAATTTGTTTGTGTTGTCTCCTAACAGCTGATCTGTGGACAGGAATTTTTGCCCAAAGCAACAGGGTGCTCGCCCTTGTATCTTTATTTTCTCCTGACCAGAAATTGTTTTAACCTTATCGTAAATGATCTTCAAGCTCATTTAAACTAAGAGACTTAGTTTTGAGACCATGGGTACCAAGTTTTGAGACCATAGGTACCAAGTTTTGAGACAAATGGTACCAAGTTTTAAGACCATGGGTACCAAGTTTTGAGACCATCTACTACCTGCTTTTATTGGGGAGGGGGGGGGGGCGCAGTTTTGGAAACCGACACAGAACTGACACCAAAAGTATTGATGATTTGACCTGTGAAGTGAATGTTTTTTAACTCACTGATCTTAAAAAGTTACATGGGCAATCATCTCTAACTGTTGATGTTTTTGTAATCAATAGTATTTCTACAGTCCTTCCTGATTTTGGTCATGTTTTGCTTGGGTGTTTTCTATTTTCGTTTCCTCTTGTCATATTCTTCTATGAGATTAAGTGTCGTTGTTCCTCAGAGTGAACTTGTGAGCCAGCTGTATAAGAAAGAGGAGATAGAGACCCTGCTTGAGGAATCTGTACACATAGCAGCACGTAGGAAAGAGGCCTCAGAAATGCTGCAGGTAAACTAGCAATACAGTGTTAACTGTATTTTGTTATATCTTCTTAAAAAGGCTATTTTTATAGTTAAGAAATAATGACAGGTTTATTTTATAAGGATCTGATCCAAAAAGTTGATTTTTTAAAAATTATCCAGCCACATTTTTTTAACATTGAAAAGGTGTTTTTTTTTTAACATTGAAAAGGTTTTTTTTATTTATTTTTTTAAAAAAATTTTTTAATGTACGGGTAGTTAAATTGATGTAAAAATATGTGTTTCTCTGAGTAAAAAATTGTCTGTTTTATTGCAGGCCTTGCAGCGAGCTAGCCAAATCATCGGTGAAATAAGGGAAATACATTTATGGTAATGTAATATGCTATGAGTAAAGACATTGTACAGGAAACATCGGTCAGCTTTGTGTTGTAACACTTCTAGGACTATCATTTTACTAATTATACAGTGAGATACTTCACAGAAACATCATAGCAAACAATTCATATCCCACTGAACTGTGGGGGAAACAGGAACTTCTGATGGAATGAACACAACTTTATCTACATATTTTGACCGTCTGCTGTCATAACAACATATGATACTTTAAAAAACAAAACTGCTCTTATTAAGATAGTCCTACTTGACTCCTTGCTTTGGGTGCAGCTATGGGACATGGATGAAATCACCAAAGAAAACTTGAGGACAAATCCATCATGGCGTGAGTCAGCAATTTAATAATTATTTTTCTCATGATTACTTCTTTAGTCAGTTTTATGAGTGGTTTTGAGAGTTCTTTGACTGGGAAAATTTACACCCATTTTTATGTGTGTCATAGGTATATTTACTGACTTTCATATTTTATTAACATATATGCAAATCAAAATAGGGCTGAAATGTTAATTCCATCAGAGTGGGCATATTTTCTGTATAAATACAATATTTTTGCGAGTTACAGATGTAACAGAATGCTTGAAAAGAGTATAATTATTTATGTTGAGGGAAAGCAGATAAACCATATAGCTTGATGGTGTAGAGATATATATTGAGACTAGTGGTCAAGAGTAGAAGACCCAATGGAAATAATCACATCTTTATTGCTCTCTACACCACAGTTAATTGATGAGCTTAAAAACTAAGAGATTTTTTTTTTTTCAAGTTGTAAACAGTGAGACTTAATTGTCATTGCTCGGTGGTGTTTCTCTCATTCCCATGTAAATATAGTTTGTTCATACTAGTGCTTGCTACTTTTTCATGCAGACATCACTCAGGCAATATGTCAATAGTTTGGGTATGTTATGTCACTTATAGTTTAGCTATGTTACTGTTGCGTGTATCTGATGTTGAATCTGTCCTTGCTGTGTTTTGACTTAATTCTATTCCTGTCAATTTTACAACATATCTGTCTTGATATGACCTGAAATTAGAGATGACTATATTTTTATTTCTAGGTTTTCATTAAAGTAGCTTAATCACATCCTAAAACATCAAGAATTAGAATTTTCAAAAAGATAATAAAATAATTGTATCTGATATTATGGAATATATGAGAGCAATGTCTTTGCTTGGCCATGACAGCTCTTTGACTGTACAACAGAAATATTTTGTATTTAATCACAGGCAACATGAAAACTTACAAATTTTGTTTTCTCATAGTTCCCATACATTTCTTTAAGGAAAGTGTGATTGTCATCAAAATGTTTAGCTTCCTTCAAGTACATCTGAGCTTTCAAGCCAAGTGATAATATTTTCCTGTAATGTAACCCCCCCCACCCCAAAGCCCTTGCTGTAATACCCATGCCCAACACTTATATCTTTCTAATGTGTTTAAATTTGATTTGAAACAACCTGTATTTTTAACATAGCAGCAGAAACCAGAAGTTACATGAAAAATGACATCATCATAATATATGAGTATTTTCTTGTGAAATGAAAGGATTGAAAGACTTGATTCTCATATAAACATTTTGTTAGGAAGTGCAATATGACTTGTCAATAACCATGAAATTGTGTGTCTTGTAAAAGATGTATTTTGATTAAAACTATATTGACAGAAGTTGACGACTGGTTACTTATTTATTTATTAAAATGAATTACACAATTTCTGTTCTCAAAATTGCCATTCACTTGGGGGTACTTTGTTTAATTGTACTCCATTTTTTTTAAATAATTTTATATTTTATTTATTGTTTGTATCTCAACTTTATTTTTTGGTAGTCACAGTTCCATCTGACAATTGTTTACATATCAGTTTAGTTGTACAAACGTCCACTGAAGACAGCCGGGTTTTCTTATTATTATTCTTTATTGAAATGAGAGGGTATCAGTTCTCTTATTGGAATGAGAGTTCTAAGTGCATTTGTTTATTTTGTGTCTGTTGAATGTTCATTACAGAAAAATAAATGATTGGGATTACTGTAATATTAAACCAGCACCAACTAGTATTAATTTGTGTTTGTTGTATTATGTGTGTGTATGTGTGCATTTGTACTGCGTGTGTGTGTACTTTGTACATTTATTTACAGTGTCATTTGATTTACAGTGTGTTTTTATGTTCTGTACCTCTATAAATAGGTGTCTCATAACTGCAGTCATTAACTTCTTCCAAAAGTATGATCTCCATGAGAATTAATCTGCTACAATTGGAAAGTATCAGTTATTTTTAAGATGTTTTTATACTTACAAATATCAAAACAATTTTATGAGTATAACTTCAAATAGGTTTAATAGTCCAAGTACTACAAATGTTATTTTTAACATTGAAACATGACAGCTACTGGAAAAAAACAAGTGTAAAATCCCCACAAGCTACTAAAACATCATCCTATTCACTCAGCAGGCATCAACTTCATAGCAGTGTAATAATGCTCGGTTTCAAACTCAGTTTACTAATCAGAAATATCAGTAGTCTTTAGCACTTCAAGAACTAGCTCAGAATCAGATAATAATGAAAGCTCTCTCTCTCTCTCCTTAGTTATGTGAGGCATCTTGGGGTGTTAATTTAAATATACTTATGTTAACTGAATATATAAAGTTTTTGGCTAAACTACTTAGCAGCCAAGTTCTAGATGTACTCCGACTTAAGGGGATTTTTGTTTTTATTGACAATAAATTAAATTATTAGGGTTGGAACTCAGTCTATGATACTGTTTATTTTTCTTGTCTACCCTAGAAGCATTTTCATTCTTTTTTTCATTTATACTAATATTCCAGTGATTATTTGTGTCTGTCCTAGCCTGATAACACCAAATAACAGTTTATTTATGGAACAAAATGAAATACAATTTATTACACTTAAAAATCTTTTACTTTTTTATTTATGTCAATTTTTTTTTTTTTTTTAAATGTCTGAAGCTATTTTGTTGTGACTGGCCCAAAGAAAGGAGTCCAAAAATGGATCAAACTGTAGTGTTCAGTCTTCCTTTGACCACCCTGTATTACAATTTATTACACTTAAAAATCTTTTACTTTTTTATTTATGTCAATTTTTTTTTTTTTTTTAAATGTCTGAAGCTATTTTGTTGTGACTGGCCCAAAGAAAGGAGTCCAAAAATGGATCAACCTGTAGTGTTCAGTCTTCCTTTGACCACCCTGTAGTGTACAGTCTTCTTGTGTTTAATTAAAACATGGGAGGAGCCAGTTTCTCTGGTGTTGTTCTCATTAGGCTGACAACTATCAAGGGATTAAATATTTCATTATCATGTCTCTAAACTTTTCATTATAATGAGTATTTAATATGCAGGATTCTTCACATTTTAACACATTCGGAGCTAGCAATGCAAACAGCCTGTGTTATTCATGTTAGACATCACAAACAGCCTGTAGTATTCATGTTAGGCACTACAAACAGCCTTTAGTATTCATCTTAGACACTACAAACATCCTGTATTATTCATGATAGACACTACAAATAGCTGTATTATTCATTCTGCCGTTGCTGTAGTATTGGTTTGTTCAACAATTTGACGTCTTACAAAGTTTACACAAAATTTGCTTCCACTCCAAGGGACATAACTTCCTTCTAAAACCTGCATTTATTAACTCAATGACTCAATGGGTTCTTTGTACTGGGATGAGATACATTTGTAATGACCAGTTATAGTACATTCTATCTGGATTTTACTATTTGAGCAGTGATTGGTGTGTATATTACATTCTTTCTTATGCTCTGAATGATAAACAAGTGTTGCATTGATTCATGCGTTAAACTAATATTCCATTGACATTTCCTTCACGTCCATCTTGTTCATTAATTTTTTTAACTTACGCTGTTCTTTGTACTATATTTTATATTATTAACAATTTATTGATTTTGCCTGTTTGGGCTTATTATCTTGATGTCATTTAGAATCTGACCTCAACAGTTTTCATTGCAAGTAATATAATCGTTATTGTATGACCTGATTGTGACTGTTGCCGTGATGATAGGCTAACATGGAGACTGTTAGATCCATTAGTGACTGCTGTAGCAATCATATGATGACTGTCAATGGAAAGACTCCAATGATTTATTTGTATTCTGTATATTTGAAATCATCCTAGATGGTAGTGTACACCAGCTTGTCTGTTTATTTGAAATTGTCCTAGATGGTATCTTACTAGTTCACCAATGAAATCCCTGCATACATTTATATAACTGAAAACTTGTGGTCAACTGTTAAATTTAATGAAAATTAATTAATGATGCCAAACACTGGTGAGCACAATGCAATTTAAAACAATAGCCTAGTGGAAAAAATTATAATTTATTTCTTGTACTTATTACTAATTAAAATTTTTTAATATATCTATGGTTAAAATGTGTCATAACATAGACAGCTAACATGCCTTGCTCTGATACTCTGAATCTGAATTCCTCTCTAGCTTTTATCAATGAATGGGGCTTAATGACTTTAAATAGTTTCATATAATGAATATGATTTAAATTACAATAAAACTATGTTAGGGCAGATTTCTTGGGTCTGGTATTGTCAATTCTTTGTAATCTAAATCTATGAAGTAAGTTAATTAGTGCCCTATGAGTGAGCTCTTGCAAGTGGACTTCACAGGCTTGATTTAAGCATCACAGAAGATTTTTATGTGTTTACTTTACAAAAATCATTTTCAACCACAGTGATAATTCATTGGTTAAAAAGCTTTCTAGGGTTTGGGTCATCTCTCGGTGTAACCCCAACTAAAATACATTATAGCCAATGCAATCATGAGGTCACAAGATGGCTGCCAATGCAATTATGAGATCACAAGATGGCTGCCAATGCTAAAAGTGTCATGTTATAGCTGTATATTGTTGTTTTGAGTTAATACTATCAGATGTAGTTGACCCTGTTTGAGAGAAATAATGAATTATGGTATATGTGTTAAATGTTTCTATGGCTGTTTCCAGTTCTTGGTTTTTTTTACTACATTTCATAAAATGGCTTTATACCTTGTTGTAGATTGTACAATTTCCCTCTTAATAAATATGCCTGTGATTTAATAAACATCCTGTCAAATCTGAGGATTTGGTTTCATTTTTTATTTAATTAATTACGGACACTAGAAAAACACAGTGATCACATTGTAAGTGACTTGAAATATGTCATTTATCTATGATGTCCTCACATCAGGTTGTAGACCATATTAGGGTCTGTCTTCAAGCCGTGTGAAGTAAATTAATAGTGGAAGAAGATATATTTAGGCTTGAAAAAAAAAAAACCCAACAATTAACAGAACGCTTCGGCTAATTGCCTTCTTCAGTAGACAATACAAAACAATAATTTGAAACTGAAAAACTTGGGTGTTCCCAGATCACAATATACAGTTTGAAATCAAGTGAAGTCTACTTCCAAAATTACTGAGACTGCGAAATTAAATTTGAATTGTGTCTTCTGATTCAAGCCCAAACATCTCTTGTTGCAATATTCATCAAGTTGTAGGAAGTGACTTCCTTGTTTAACTTCACAAAAAATCACAAGGTGTTTGCAAAATCCACAACTTTAGTACAGATTTCACCATAGTCTTCTGCCACTGTGTCTTTGTGTTGGATCTTCTTGGTGAGCATAGATTGTAAGAATCTGTTCATCTTGGGTCGGCTGGTCACCTCAGTTGCCCGCTGTATTAGCTCGTCAACTCTTAAACTTGAGAAATTTTCTGAAAGTAAAAAATATTTGTAGGCAAAAGTAGTCAAGACATATCAGAAGCTTTTACTGAATTAGAAGACACATCACTACAAGCAAGGTTAACAACCAAAAATCAAAATACATGACTATGTTAAGAGAAGAACAGACAGATGAAACCATTAAAATTAGAAAAAACACTTTTGAAAAAGCAAATCGATTCAAATAATAAGGATCCTTAATAAATTAAAGAAATAAAATTAATAACAGAAATAAAAGAAAGAATATCGGCTGGAAACGGCATATTTTAGTAGTCACAAAACACTCAAAAGTAAAAACTTTGTAAGAAAAACAAAGAAAATCATAATATAGAACAGTAATCAGACCAGTTGTATCATTGGCAAATGAAACTTGACCCTAACAAAAATGGTAGAAAACTTATTAACACATGGGTGAGAAAAGTTCTGAAAATATACTGACAAACAAAGTGAAAATATACTGACAAACAAAGGATGTATATGGATGGACAATACAAAACAACCAGGAATTGTATAACCTATATCAGGATCCCACGTTAGTAGAAATAAAAAAAGGAGTTAAAAGGGTGTACCAACAAAACCCCGGATGAAAAGGGTTCAAAAGCAGAACTAGGCTTAGATGGATGGATGGATGATGAGGAAAAAGATCGACCAGCAGCTGGGAATCCAAGCATTGAAAAGAAAAGCAACAGTAAGGTCTGTGTGACAGGAAGTTGTGAGGCAGGCCAAAGCCCTACATGGCCTGTAGCGAAACAGGGATGGAAAAAATATGTGTCGATGTTAAGCTAAACTTTTTAATTGCATGTAAAAGAAGAGAGGAAATTTAGAGGAAGAAAATATTACTTTTACAAGGGAAATTAGACACAAGAAATACTTTTGTGTGCTAATGCTAAACTAATACACTATTCTTTCACTATATTGGTTGGTTATATTGCTTTCAAATGTGACACAAGCTAAAAAAAAAAATGTCTACATATCTTTTGCAACCACAGTGATAAATCATTTGTTTTTTTATAGGTGTAAAAGATAAGGGTTGTCTGTTTCTTATAGTCTCCTACATGGATTCATGGATCTTTACCTTATAATACACACAATTCATTTTCAAACTTAAAATATTGGTGGAATTTCAACTCCATAAAATCCCCTCCTGTTATTGCCAGGGCTAAAATTTAAATGTTTATCTCTTTAAAAAAATTAAAGGGGAAAATATAATATTAAAGGGAAAATATAATATTTTCCAATATATTGAGGAGCCGTATTTTTGGCCAACTTCAGAATTTTATTTTTAAAAACTTTGGGGGGGGGCGTGCGAAAATCGAAGCACGCTCTTGGCAACACTAACCCTAGTTACCCCACTGGCTATAGTATATAAGCTACTTATATCACAGATTAGTGAATAGGTAGCTTACAGGATCTCGCTGAACAACCACAATAATTATATAAAATAATTTGTTTGCTGGATGCCTCACCCTTAGGGTCAAGCAGTGGTAAAATGTTATCAATAAATTTTCCATGATGTGCTGTGCCACTTATGAGAGTAGGGAAGTTGACATCACCATAGTTGGTAGCAACGAAGTGAGCCACGGATGTATGAGGATCCAGCAGATAGCCTGAGGGAAGATGTCAATGAATGAACATAATGTTGTTGGCATGCAAGCAATGGAAAAAGATGCCCATGAATGAATAAGATGTTTTTGCATGCAAGAAATGGGAGATGTCTTTGAATGATAAGATGTTTTGGCATGCAAGCAAATGAAGAAGATGTCAATGAATGAAAATACCATTGCTGTTACACAAGCAATGGAAATGTTCTTAAGGCATGACTATACACAATGGCGGAGTGATCAATTCAAAGGGTGATCAATTCATCAAATGTAACAGCTCAGTCTTAATTAAAATTTATTTTACTTTTTATTGATCATTTAATAAGGCAGGTTTTCCAAAGGATTGATTGAAAAAATATTGTTGCTTTTTTTTTAGAAAAATACATGA